TTCATAAACATAACATTTAAAAAAACTTGTAATGCCAAACAGTTACTTACTGTGCTGATTTATCATGTATTTTTGGTAGTTGTCATGTAGTTTTGTGTGATTTGTATTTTCCAGGCCGTATGTCTACGCTGTTCACTCAGAGCAGCCGGATACATACGGACACATCCTGGGTCCACTGAGCAATGAGGTGAAACTCTCTAACACACACACACACACACATATATATATACACACACACACACACATTCAGAGACTTTGATTAGTGTGTGACATTTAGAGGAGGGTAAATATGACATGAGTTTTAACTGTTTTTACTGTGTGTTTTTACTGTGCGTGCGTGTGTGTGAGACAGCTGGATAACACTCTCAGGAAGATCGATAACATCATCGGTCATCTGATGAACGGCCTGAAACAGATGAACCTCCATCGCTGTGTGAACGTCATCCTGGTGGGCGATCACGGTACGATCTCTGGTGTTCTAGCGCAGAAACACACACGCATGCGTTCACATCCAGCAGGTCTGAAGACAACAGTCCACACTAAAAATCAGTTTTATAGGTCTGAGGAATCATAAGTTATGATGTAGAATAAGTAATAAATAAAATTCTGCTCTAAATCTGATGTAAATGTGCCGAATGAATCGAACAGACTCAGATCCAGCACCTTCATTTAAATGGTCATTTTACAGCAAATGTTCTGTGTGTGTTCAGGGATGGAGGAGTCTCACTGTGAACGAACAGAGTATTTGAGCTCTTACGGACTGGATGTTGACGCTATCACACTGATCCCAGGATCCTCTGGAAGAATCGGCCCCAAAAACGCCAACACATCATGTGAGCACATACACGTTCATCTCAGTTAAGCTCATTATAAAAACTATAGGCTCACCCTAAAATGTAATGATTTATACAGTATTTATTCACTTTATGAAATGTTTATCCCGTTGAGAATGTTTTTCTGAATGTTTTTCTGAATTTGTCTGAATTTGTAGATATTCTTCAGCAATTTTGTTTAAAAAAAAAAAAAAAGTGGTCCCTCAGGAAGGCGATGTCCACGCTTGTGGCCCAAGAGCGCCATCTTTGGCTTAACATCACTGAGATGAGAGATGTCGACAAAGTGCGCTTTCTTGACGCTCCCATCTCGCAGGTTGGCCTATTCGGCGACACTGTCAAGGACTTTGCCCAGCAGTTCTCGGCAGTGCAGAGACAGATTGAGGCCATCCAGCACATCTTGCCCCGGCGTGATCCTCCAGCTGCCACTGCTCTGCCGTGGGCCGCGCCTCAGCCTACTCGTCGCCGAGGGCGCCTCCGCCCCATGCTGAGACACCGTCGTGGTCAGTGCGTCGAGCCTCTCGGAGGACTGCGGCGCCCCCCGTGTCCCAGCCGGCCCTAAGTTTTCTAAAAAGACAACAAAGCGGCCCTGACACAGGCAACCCGGAGATGTGGAAAGCTGCTCTTTTTCAGGAGATGGCGAGAACAGCTCCACTCCTTCCCCTGGAGGAGGGCCGAGTGGAGAATCCTTTGTTCCGTTTTATTTCTGTTCACCTTCTGTACCCACATTCTCGAAAAAAGAGCAGCTTCCTTTTTCTCCGGGTTATCAGGCTCGTGGGTTGACAGTGAGCGACGCGCTGCCTCCTCACTCTCGCCCACAATGCCCCCTATTGCCAGCAGCCAAGAGATCACGGCTCAGAGACGCGCTGCCTCTCCACCCATCTCTGGCCAGTCCCTCCGGGGACACGGCGAGTCCTGCTGTGATGAGCCAGGACGCGATGCCTTCTGTGCCATCCAGCACGACTTCCCACCGCTGCACCACCATGGGTGTGTCTATTGTCCCTTTGGTGACACTCGCACGGAGCTTGGAAACGTGTCTTGCGCTGCCCAACCCGTCCCGCTGGCTCATTCAGACAATTCGACTGCCCCTGTCCTGCGTGATGAGATTGCTGTCCTACTGGCGAAGGACGCAATTGAGCCTGTCCCTCCAGCCGAGATGAATTCATGGTTTTACAACCCTTACTTCATAGTGCCCAAGAAAGGCGGTGGCCTTCAGCCAATCCTGGATCTGCGAGTCTTGAATCGGGCCCTTCACAAGCTCCCATTCAAGATGTTGATGCAAAAGCGCATCATCAGATGCATCCAGCCCCAGGATGGTTTGCAGCGGTCGACCTGAAGGATGTTTACTTTCATGTCTCGATTCTTGCTCGACACAGGCCGTTCCTACGGTTTGTGCTCGAGGGTTGGGCATGGCAGTACAGGGTCCTCCCCTTCGGGCTGCCCCCCCATGTCTTTACAAAGGTCGCGGAGGGCGCCCTTGCCCCATTATGGGAAGTGGGCATCAGAATCCTAAACTACCTCAACGACTGACTCATCATGGCAGACACCGTGCAAGGTTAGGGATGACGAGGAACAGGTCTTGCTGGTTGCACCTTACTGGCCCACCCAGACCTGGTTTTTGGAACTCATGGTCCTTGCGACAGCCCCTCCCTGGTGCATCCCTCTGAGGAAGGACCTCCTTTCTCAGGGGCTCGGCACCATATGGCACCCACGTCCAGATCTGTGGGACCTCCACGTGTGGCTCCTGGATGGGACACGGCAGACTTAAGTGATCTGCCACCGGCGGTGGTGAAAACGATCACTCAGGCTAGAGCTCCCTCGACAAGGCAAGCCTATGCTCTGAAGTGGAGTCTGTTCGTGAACCGGTGTTCTTCTCACAGAGAAGACCCCCAAAGATGCATGATTGGAGTATTGCTTTCTTTCCTGCAAGAAAGGTTGGAGTGTAGGCTGTCACCCTCCACCTTGAAAGTGTATGTGGCTGCTATCGCAGCACATCACAATGCAGTGGATGGCCGGTCCCTGGGAAAGCACGATCTCATCGTCAGGTTCCTGAGGTGTGCCAGAAGGTTAAATTCTCCTAGGCCACCCCTGGTGCCCTCCTGGGATCTCTCTACGGTCCTGGCTGGCCTTCAGAGGGGTCCCTTTGAGTCGCTGGATTCAGTCGAGCTCACTTCCATCAAGAGGGTCGGGGACCTTCAAGCGAAGAGTGCCTTGTGTTCGGGCCGGCCTACTCTCACGTTGTCCTGAGACCCCGGCCTGGATACGTGCCCAAGGTTCCCACCATGCCCTTTCGCGACCAGGTGGTGAACCTGCAAGCACTGCCCTCGGAGGAGGCAGATCCAGCCTTGGCGTTGCTGTGTCCCGTAAGAGCGTTGCGCATATACGTGGACCGCACCCGGAGCTTCAGAAGCTCTGAGCAGCTCTATGACTGCTACGGAGATCAGCAGAAAGGGAAGGCTGTCTTCAAGCAGAGGTTGGACCACTGGATAGTGAATGCCATCGCCTTGGCCTACCAATCCCAAGGTGAGCCGTGCCCCCTGGGGGTGAAGGCTCACTCCACACGGAGTGTTGCCTCCTCCTATGCGCTGGCGCACGGCGCCTCTCTGGCAGAGGCTTCTCTTAAGAAAAAAATTTCTGACATAGGAGCAGTGGCTTGGCTATCTCCAAGCAGCTATGTACTCACCCTTTGGTCCCTGCGGGCACCAAGGCCAGCGAATTTGCACTGGGGCGTTGGGAAGGTTATGACCCTTGCGTAGCACTTGTCTGGCACGCGGCTGCTTGTCAACATTTGCAGCGCTACAAGGTTGTGACGGGGTTCTGATTATGGTGCTTTCCAAGGACCTCCTATGTCATCAAGACATAACTCGTAGTGACTGACGGATAGGTTCCCTGATGGAGGGAATGGAGATGTTATGTCCCCATGCTACAACCTCAAACCATCACTGGTTGCCAGAAACACGTTCTCGGCTCCTCAGCGTAAAACTTGAATGACTGGAGCCTATTTATACCCGTATGCACGGGGAGTGGCTCAGGTATGCAAAATCCACTAGCCGAATTTCATTGGCGTTTTCTCTTAAAGTCAGAGCGGATTGGGGCTCTCAAGTAAACCCCCTATGTCGTCACGACATAACGTCTCCATTCCCTCCATCAGGGAACGAGGGTTACATACGTAACCGAGACGTTTCTTCTTAAAGCAGTTTAAACTGAAATTGTGGGACATTAAAGTTACAATTTTCAGATGTATGCAACTTACTGTATGAACTTATAACTTAAAAACAATTTTAAACTTACAGAATTGCATGATTTGTAGTTCGTCTTTTATGATACACCAGAGGTCACCTGAAGCTATTAAACCTTAAGTTCACCAGCAGTATATATATTTACATTATCACTATATATCATTTGAATATGACAAAAATTTGTCTGGCAATGGTTAGAATTAAATAGGTAGTTGTAATTTATAATGGTTGTAATTTAGGTCAAAGATGTGTTAAATTAACTAATGAATCTTCTGTTTACAAAGTCTAATGATCAAAGTTATGGTCAGTTTTCTATGTTAAATTTATATATTCATGCATTTGGCAGACACTTTTATCCAAAGCAACGTACATTGCATTCAGTGTTTACATTTGATCACTTTATGAATTTTCTGGACTTTTATTTTATATCAAAATATCTATTTTACATCAAAATAGAATTCACTGGCTGTTTTCATTAAAATAAAGTACATGGTAAACTGTGTTTTTCCTTGAAACTGTAATTGAGTACAAAAATTGAGTTTCAGTAGTATTCTATTAAAGTATAAATTCTTTCATTATCAGTGTGGTAATGAAATAGTACACACCCTGCATACACACTAAGTCTAAAAACATAGATTTCAGAGGAAACAGATGTTTACTTCTGAAACCTTCACAGTTGAATTTATGGCCTCATTTCTTTATGTTTCAGATGATCCAAAGGAGATTGTTTCTAATTTAACAGTAAGTCAATCAGTCCCATCCTCCTGGCAGAATCAGTGTTCTGTTTGTACACCGTGCTGCATGTGACCTATGACCTTTGACCTGTTTCCAGTGTAAGATGCCCAATCAGCACTTCAAGCCATACCTGAAGCAGCACCTGCCCAAACGCCTGCATTACGCCAACAACAGTGTATGTGTGTGTGTGTGCGCGTGTGTATTCACATCTAAAATAAGACAAAATTCAGATTTTTAGTGGTCAAAATTCATTTTTTCCCCAGTATGTATTTGTATATATATATATATATATATGTGTGTGTGTGTGTGTGTGTATATATATGTATATTATATAATATATATATATTTATATATATACACACACACACACGTATATATATATATATATATATATATATATATATATATA